TCCTTGTATGCCTTGTGTGCCTTGTATGCCCCTAAATTGGTCATTCTACATGGCTTCAGTGGAATTGAGATCTGAAACTGAGGTTCCAACTCAACTGGGACATTCTTGCTTTCCTGATCCATCACCAAGAAGAGTAGGGCATTGAAGAGATGTTCAGAATTTCATTCTGGCATTGGAGATGGTGAATAATGGGAGAAGTTCATCAACATATTTTTAGTGAAGATGTCGGACATGAAATAAGGAATGGCCAGTTTTCTGGTGAACGCTGATAGACTTAGTCATCAAACATTATCCCAGTTCTGATTAACGTATACTCAAACATTTGATTACAGTCTTGCCCCAGGGCCCACCAGGATTACCCACCCTTAATTCAATCCAGCCCATGTTTATGGAACTCGTACCCCAAACCAGGCATACTTGCTTACATTGGATGAGTAACTCCTTTCTACCAAATCCCATCTGCTACTATTTTGGCATTTAAGATGCTTCCTTGTACATCTGAGATGGGTCTTTTTATCCAAGTCATGACATTAGTTTATCCCAAGAAATATTTGCTCGCAGAACAAGACAAAACTCAAAAACAAAGAAGGCCATAAGATCACAAATGGTTATTGATTTGCATTTGTTCACTACCTTCACAAACTGAGTAGTCGGGCCCTCTTGCAATCAGTCATTAAGATAGTCGGATAAAGTTCAAATCCAGAGCTATAGATGAAAACATCTTTAGCTACCTTCATAGCATGATCTTCCTAAATATTCTTTATTGTTAATGGGTCATTTAGGTTCTCTTATCCTCTGACTCATTGGACTGGTAAGGAACTACACATGACACAGATCATCTAAGTGACATGTGCATTGCTTTGCAGCCCTTGGCTGGCCAGATTATGTGTCTTAAGTTTAAAACTCGGTTAAAGTCTCTGCCATTATTCTGTCTTTGTTCTGAACAGGTGTGGCCAGAATCTACTGAGTCACTTGATGACTTTAATGAAGTCCATCTCTGTCCATCCCAGTCCTCAGACTAAGCCTTTGTCCTGGTCCACTGAGGAGAACCACTCCCCACCCCCTGCCGCCCAACCCCTTCTACCATGTGTCTAGGAGGAACCTCTACTTGGCAAGCCCTGCCCGTCATGCAGGAGCAGAAATTGATATACTCCAGCCTCTGCTCTCTACTCCATCACCTTGGTTTTAGTGAAAATTAGGGTTGGAGACCTAGGTCACATCCTGGACAAGTAGCTTTACTTTCTGTGGGACGTAAACTTAAGGACATTGATGTTGAAAGGTAATCTGAAAAGATACAGATGTTTGGAGCGCTGTCTAGGATAATAGATGAGATTCTGATATACTACTCACTGGGATAGTAGAATTGTTTGAGGATCAGGTGAGAGTATAGGGGCCACAGAGCACTTTATATCTATAATCTAGCGATTAGATCTCACAGGAATCTTGCCATTTAATCATGTTTAGGATGGGCCTTTCACATGTGTTATCTATTTAAATAAATCTTAGGATAATCTCATGAATCAGGTACTAGCTCCAGCCCCTTAGACACTCTGACTTTATAGTTGTAAAGTGCAGAATTGGTACCTTGCCCAAGACTATTTAGTTATTTCGTGTCTGTTCTGAGCTCATGCAGGGTTATCAAAGTATGAATCTCACATGGTAGATTTGTAGGTGTCACGGAAGTTGGCAGAGATCATTTTGGCTGAGGAGCTTTTGGGCATTCTTCATTCCATGCACTGTGAACAGCCATCACTCTGCTCCCAAGGAGTGCACCCTGCTGTCCATCTTAAAACATCTTCAGTTATATTTTTAATCACTACAAATGCAAGAAACTCACCTTTTTTCCCCCAGCAAGAATATCACTAAACTGATGCCCCTGGAATTTTCAAAAGTCCTGAAAATTTTCTGGAGAATAATTTTTTCCCTTCCACCATCCATCCTGATCCTGCCGGGCATCCTGTGCTCCCTCAGTCAGGGGCTGGGCTGGTCAAAGAAGCTCTTTGCATGCAGATGCCGAGTTAGAGAGGCAGCCTCTCCCCATGCATCAATTCCAACTGCATTCAAACATTTTCAATATGTGGGCTCCTTGATATCTTTCACTGTATGGAAAACAAAATGGAGGGAAATGATTATTGGCACAAAAGGGGGAAGCCGTAAATCTTCAAATCAGATATAGGACAGATTGGAACAATATGGGTTCTCCAAGGTTGCCATGATAATGTACCTAATAACTCTCCTTGGGCAAAAAGGCAATCTGCTTTCAATCAATCTCGTTTTTTTTTTTTTTTTTTTTTTTTCCTGAGCAAAAATACCAATTACGTTGAAGGAGGCTTTTTTTCTTCCTTTTTGATAAAGACGGCTCTCCACCTCAGAAATCATGCTGTAGCTTAAAGATATATATTTTCAATTGTCTAGAATGGTATTGGACAGCTAGCACCAAATGAGAAAAGTCAATCCTTTTTCCCTCCCCTCTCCTGCCAGCATTTGTCTACTTCTTAAGAGAAGTGAAAGCTAATTAAAGGCTTAAGGGATAATATTGATTGCATTGGAATATATTTTATATGTGCCCAAGCACATTTTCAACAAAAAGAACCCTGACTCTTTCTACGGCTGAATAAATCAGCTGGCTGAGCCTTTGATTCAAGGGTGAGAGAGGTGAACTCATCTCCTTCCCTTCCACTTCTCACACATCTGTCCTAGAGATGAATGACTTCAGAAGGGAAAAAAGGGATTCTGGCAGCTGTTCATTCAGTTCTTTGCATCTATGATAGGAAGGAAGAATGTGCACGCGTTTCCCAGGACCTCTGGTGGAATTTTGTCCAATTCTCAATAATAACCAGGCTTATGCCAGTGTAGAACTTTGAGCTGTACAGGGCTTGGTGCAGGAGATTGCTGGGCAGTAATCACCTCTCGGCTTTCTCATCTCTCAAATGGGGATAAGTGGCTCACCGGGGATCAAACACAACCCTGGTGGCGGAGCACAGGATCATGTCCAATTTTCACATCCACAGGAAGAGCTCCGACCCTGTGTCTGACCCATGGGGGTAAATGCCATACAGTGGCTTTATGCTGCTCTTGTTCTCAGTCATGGAACTCTGTGGGCAGAAAGCATTAGAATTACTCCTAAATCACCCCACTGTCATTTGTGGAGAGATCAGATCAGGAGGGAGATCCTGTTTCTTGGTCACTTTGTGCACATGCCTGGCAAATTCGCCATCAGAAATCTGACTCAGAATGTGTAAATTCACCTGCAGTCTGTTTTGTCCCTATAAATGAGCACAGGCCATGAGAAACATTTGCAGATATGACCTGGTAAATATATATGTAATCAAGTGTTCTGTGTTCATTGTGCATTCTGACATAGTATGTGTTTCAGGAGGGGGTTAATCACATGGGTTTTGGACATGAAATTTGGATGGGGATTTCCCTTAACCTAGCAGGTAACAACCAGAGAGCAGAGCGATGAGTTGAAACATCTCTGCTGAGGTAGCCCTTAAACGTTCTCCCTCCCCTGTGGCCTCTGCTTGCCCGATGGCTAAGTGCAGCACCGTAACAATAACGTCCATAATGGTCATATTATTAACTGCATCGTGCATATTATTGATTTACTCTTTGTTCTGCATCATTATCCTTTCACCAATGAGTTTACTGCATTATTCTCACATACTTAGTCAAGCACCAAATTACATCGAAAGGGCAGGCTCTTGTAATGACATCTAATGGAACATTACATAAGCCATCATCACTGTCTTCCTATTAAGAGCCGCCTCCAGCCAATGAGCTTGCTGCCTTATTGGAATGCACATAGAGCGATTATGAAGTGCCACAGACCTGGCCATTCTCAATTTTTCCCACAAAAGTGCCACCTGCCCGTGTCTCAGAGCCCAGCCAGGGACCCAGCCTCTATCACTACTAGCTTGAGGGCACAGGGACCTGAGTCGAACCTCTCAGTCCAGTCTCTTTCCTAAAAGTCCTGGGTTTTAATCTCCACAGGCAGTCCTATGGCTTTGGATCTTGGGGCTGACTCTAGCACCTAAGTGCTTGCTCCCAATCGGGCATGGGGTGGGAAAGAAGTGGCTGCTGATTGCCAGATGTCGTATTAGATGACTCAGGAGCCCATGATGTTGGTGGGATTATTGTTGCAGCAGTTCTGAAACAGGGGCTCATGTCAGGGGTGCCACCATCTCCAGGAATAGAAGTCCAAAGCACCCTGACCAAAGCAGATGGCTCCTACCCCCTCCCTTCCTGGCTTCTCTCCATCTTAAAGTAAATTCCTGGGACTCCTCTGGAAATGCTCAGCACCCTAAGGTAGCAGTGCTGTGCCGGGGAGGCACTGCCTGCGGCATGATCTCCCATTCCATAGGCATCCCAGCCCCATTTAGCCCTGAGTAATGCTCACTTACTGTAAAGTGTTACATGCCCCCATTGTTGGAGGAGTTATGGTGGAAAAATGCAAAATTTCCTTTTTACTGCTTATGGCCAGCAGAGCCCATAACGTGTCAAGCCGCACATTAGCCACCCTGATAAAAGTCCGCTTTCTTACACACAAAATCATCGTTTCAGCAAGATTTGTTATCTCATTACCTGATAAGCTCTATGTCATAAACCAAGACTCATTCGGTAAATCTCCCGGGAAGACGCTTTGTGGGCAGAAAGGGAGAGATATGAATCTGCAAGGGACTTGATAATGCAGCATTTAAACGCAAGCATAATGTCACTTATTGTTAAATGCATAAAACCACTTGGCCAAACGGTTGGGCTTCTAATAGGATTTTGTGCAGCATCAGGTGAGACGCCATATGCCTTTTCTGTTGAGGAGTCTCTGAGCACCTGCCAGTGCCGCTGCTTTGCCTCGCAGCCCTCTGAGACGGGAGCTGGGCTTACTGAGGGCTTGCGGGAGATGGATGCTTCCCTGCAGCTTCAAGCTTCCTCTGTCTTGCTCGGGTGGGGTGCTGGGTTGAGGCTGCGCCAACCTCATCTAATTGGCCTCTCCTGTTCAGGCACATAGTGGTCTGTGGACACATCACACTGGAGAGTGTTTCCAACTTCCTGAAGGACTTTCTGCACAAGGATCGGGATGATGTCAATGTGGAGATCGTCTTTCTTCACAAGTAAGAGACCCTTTTAAGCAACTAGGCACCCCTTGAGAGAATCCCTGGGTGTCTGTAAAAGTGGGGTTTTGGGGCAGTGTTAGAGGGCAGGGAAGGGTTGAATCAGTTGTGATCCCTGCTGACCTCAATGGAGAGGACAATATGAAACCAGTAGAAAAGGAAGCAACACACACTAGTTCAGTGGTGAGAGCAGAAGCTAAGCTGCCTCTGGAGATAATTCTAGCAAATAATGGTTGAGTTTATGATGAGACAGACACATCATTACTGTCCCCTCAGCTGTCTGGATACGTGGGATCTGGATGTGTCCTCAGGTGGAATGGTTAGCTGCATTGGTGTGGCTACTTGATGCGGGCAGGAGTGCCATAGTGATCAGTCAAAACACAAACCTAACAGGAGGCAGGGGAGCAGGTAATGGTTGCCTTCCTTGAACCCTCTGGCGTGGGACCCTGAGCCTGTGTACAGTCTCTCAGTCGCACAGGGAGCAATACTGCATGCTCTGGACTCAGAGTACTCACTTCGAATTTTGGCTCAATCAATTACTGACTAAACAAATTGATTAACCCTGTGTCTCAGTCTCCACATCCATAAAATGGGGAGATCATAATGGTTTCTCTCTACATCTTTGGGCTATATGTAAGAATGCAAAGACGTAATCCATGTAACGTGTACAAAGCAGAGTCAGATTTGCAGTGAGTTCTCAATAACTGTTAGCTGTTACCATGACAGGAAAAATAGATTAGGTAAATGACAGGAAAAATATATTAGGCTGCATAATAAACTAAGGAGGTAGGTCTTATATTTGCTTCATAGGTGAGGAGAGCTAGCTATCTCTCTTCCACCCCAGGGTTTAAGCTTTGCCCGATCCCCTTTTTGGAAAAATGTAGTCTGCCACAGGAATGGAGAGTTGGGGATTCAGGCAGGATGACATGGGTGGCAAGGAGCATTTTGGGGTCAGCCATGGCCCGAGTGTTCCCCAGATCAAATGTTGGTGCTGGCTGGATATGGGGTTGACTGCCCAGGAGACCATCCTGGTTTGGGAATTCACTGAGGTTGACTTCTCTACAAGTTCAGTCCCGGGCCGCCCTTTCTTTCTAGCATTTGTTCAATGAATACCAAATTGTTCACCACGGGGGCCTCCTTGGTGGCGCAAGGGGTTAAAATCTCAGCGCTACCAAGCTATCCACAGCCAGTGCATCATGAGTTCGATCCGTGGCCAGGGAGCTGACCCACTTGGCACCTCAGACCTCTCCTCTCACAAGCTGTACCCCTCAGCAGTGTATTTCAGTGGATCTGCCTGTTCTGGCCCCAGTCTGTCTCTGGTGAATCCTCTCAGCCCCTGTACCTCTGTCCTAGGCCCCAGCTCTTGTATGCATAAATAAATAAAACAGTCTTAAACAAAAAAAATTGTTCACCATGTTAGAGCACCAGCACTGACTTCTCCAAAATTCTGAAAAGACTGCCTTGGCCAGGGGCACAGGAGTAGTACTCAAAGATCCAAGTCAGTGTCTCACCAGTGGGGGCCCATGCTCTACTGAGCCTCCTGGATGGTTCAGAAGTGCAGCCCTGAACCTGCCCTCATGTTGGTTGGGCATTTCCAGATGAGCACATCCACATGCTACAATTAGATCACAACATCGATCTGTATTAATGGATGGAGTCAATTTAATTGAGTGGCAGAACCACATGAAGTATCTGTATCAGGGGAAGAACCCAGCTTTTTGCATTACCAGGGATGTTTTCCTGCATCTGGAAATCTCAGATTTGCACAGCCAGTGCCCTTTTCTTGCACACTGCTGCCTGTGAATGCTTCAATTGCTAGGATTCACCTCTGTGTCCCTAGCATCTGTCAGTGTCAACATCTTAGTAGATGGCCCAGTTAATTAACCTCTCGAAGCTTTGGGTTAATAGCAAACCTTCCTGTAGGGGTGTTTTGAGGTTTAAATAAGTTAATACTTGTCAAGTGCTCAGAATGGTGTCTGCCACATAGTAAATGATCAAAAACAGGATTATTATTACTAAGTACCTAATCAAGGCTAGGCAAGCATTGATTAACACCTGGTCGGAATGTAGGTTCTAACTAATACCATCCTTCAGTACCTAGCACCTTTCCGTGAGCAGGTGCTTTTCATCTCTGCAGAGTTTGATGATTGAATAGATCAATCAGTTATTTCAATCCTTGTCTGCCAATGGGAAAGACGTCTGTACATCCCAGCACTAAGAATGTGAGATAGTGTACACGTGTGTATCAACAGCTGTACTGAGAGTAAGTGGATTATCTGGCTGCTTAGATGTGACAGTTTTTAACCAGACCTTGTGGTCCTTGAGGTAGAGGCATAGGGGAAAGGCAGCTGATGGAAGGAACAAAGGTTACCAAGGAGCCTTTCACTTGCTCCTGATGTCCCAACCTCTATTTCTCTGTTCATAGAATAGGGATTCTACACACACCAAAGTCCAAGGCATTTGCTTCATAGGTCTCGGACTGTGTAGAGATCGTGAACCACTCTAATTGACCTTGGTGCTGGTTTGGGTTTTCACTTGGGCTGGTTTTTACTCTTTCTGAGTGTAAGACTTTTACTTATGGCAAGAAAGGAGACTACTTTGAAGATGCAAGCCCTTTTTGGTGATCTGAGAGAAGGGCTCCAGAGAGCTGATACCTGTATGTGTTTTAATGATGACCATTTCTTCTCTCCCTAAACAGCATTTCCCCTAACCTGGAACTTGAAGCTCTGTTCAAACGACATTTTACTCAGGTGGAATTTTATCAGGGTTCAGTCCTCAATCCACATGATCTTGCCAGAGTCAAGGTAAGAGGGAAGAGGTGACTTCTGTGTTCACTCCATCTGGGCTGGGGGTGTCTGACTCTGATGAGGAATTTGCATCTAGGACGGTCAAGAATCACCTCCAAACCCCTAATGAGGTAAGTCTATACCATCAGCCTTGACATCACTCTGCTACTGGACTTGGATTCATTCTGTGGGCACATGCTATGCCACCTGCAAGCACTCCATGTTGGGGCTAGTCATAACATGAAATCAATTTTGCTAGTTCCCTCAATATCAGCACTGCTGAGGGAAGGGGACCAGTTGCATGGCCTCAGTAGTCTCATATCCAATTAATAAGTAATTCACATCTTAAATAATTAAATTGAACTTAGCATAGCTCTTAAATCTAGTATTTACATCAGAATGGGATATTAAGAATATCATATACAATAACATTTTACCAAAGCATAAACCATTTATGCTTCCTTTCCACATAGTCTCCTCCTCCCCACCCAACCAAAGATTAAAAGTGCAAGTATTTGATATCACTTGCTATCAGAAACTGCTAAGTTGGAATCTTCTTAGAAAGCACACCTGAGGGTTCTAAGGAAAAAGGATAAAGCAAAATGGCATCTGCTGCTTTATTTTTTTGATAAGGTTTTGTGAGCACATTCAATATTTGCATGCCCATATATATTGATTAATATTGTGATTTCAGTGACAACAAAATGCTAATGGTAGGCACCCCATAATTCAGCAAGTAATGTAATTGGCAAATATGAATATGGCAAGAGGATTTGGGTAAATTCTTTGATTTTTAAAGAAAAAGAGACAATTGGTGGCACACCACAGAGAAAACCATGCCTTCCCACCAGATGCAGGAAAGGTCTAGTACAAGGACAACAGATTGCAGAACGGAGCTGGCATGAGAATTTCTACACTTACTGATTCCAGTTAATCTTAATATTATCCATGCATGATCTAAGTTATGGCTAATGTAAAATCTTATGAGAACTTAGAGAAAATAGTTATTGTTCATGAACCTAATTTAAATGCAAACAGTTATTAGCACAACTTGTGATCCTCTCTAAGGAATAAATCCTTTCTGGCTCATGTTTAGTTAAGTCAGTAGGGTGTGTTTTGAGGTCGTCTCTAATGTTTCATACACATGGGTTTGTTGTCTTTTGAATATCTGAATGCTAATTAAATACTAAACAGTCTTGAGCTGTTATCTGATTTAAGGCTCTCATTTCCTCTTACTCCACAGCTAGGGAAGATGTGAGAAAGATTAAATGAAGGACTCTGGAGTTTAAATTTCTTAAGCCTTAACCATTCAGTTAGCTTGCTAATGTGAGAGGAGTTTAGACCACCTACCTGCATTTCCTCACAAGAAAAATTAGGAAAAACGGTACAGATGGTTGGGAAAGGAGGTGGGAGGTATTGAAAGGCTTAATTAATTGTTATTTAAAGAAATCTGGAAAGCTTACATGTAAGCAACCATGCAAAATGAAAAGTATAATTAGCGAGATACATATTGAACCCTCCAACAGCAACAAGATGAGATGTTTACACCATAACAAGAACTTGCAACCTATACTTTTAACAAAAACTGTGATCTCTCAGGATTGTTTTTTTCTGTCCTTGCAAAGCACCAGGTTCCCGAAGAGCTGTCAGCAAAGACTGCAACCAAGCTTGGCTATTCATGTGTCTGTGTCCTGTGCTCTTTCTTTCGGTGTCTTAGATAGAGTCAGCAGATGCGTGCCTAATCCTTGCCAATAAGTACTGCGCTGACCCTGATGCTGAGGATGCCTCCAACATCATGAGGTAACCGCAGGGAGGAGGGAGGCCCTGGGCCCGGGTGCTCTGCAGTCCTGGTTGCTTTGTGGGTCCTCTGCAGAGCACCAACTTTGTGGCACCTGTTTCCTTCCATCGGCCACCCTCACAATTGCCACATAGGCCCCGGGAAAGCCGAGGCATTAGTGGCTGTAGTGGGCAGTGACACAGGGCACCGTCAACTGGAAGTTCATCCTTAGAAGCGGGGAGCTCTGGGGTACACAATCAGTCTTGGGTTTGAGTTACTTTGGACAGTACCAGAAAAGGAAAGGTGGATTTAGATAAGGTGCAGGCCTGAAATAGATAACGGTGTTCCCTAGGATTTCCATTCTTTACATTTTTGTGTCATTTGAAGGGAGTGGACCTGAGCTATCTGAAGCAGGAGTGATTTTGCCCCCCAGGGGACATTTTGAAATATCTGGAGATGTCTCATAAGTAGGAAGTGCTGCTTTACATTCGACAGTGCATAGAAGAGACCCCACAACAGCAAATCACCTGGCCCCAAAATTTCAGTAGTGCTGAGGTTGAGAAGCCCCGAGTTAGAACTTACCAAGTTCCAAGATTAGTGTCTGTTGCAAAGAGGAGTTTGCTCACCTATTCCCTCCTTTCAACCAGTTTCCCAAAATGAAATCATGTTTTTCAGTGGACATCTTCTCAGTGCTTTTAATGCTAATACGAATTTCTAAGAGAATGTTCTAAGAGAATTTCTTAAACCTATTTTTCTCAAGCCCTCCCACACCCTTTATTTTACAGGATATCTCCTGGCAGGACCCTCGGAAAACAGTGCCCAGTGCCTTTCCTTCATATAGGTTAGGTCCTCGATCGTATGCCAGTCTCTGCTCAACTCCTACTCATTTCATCTCATTTCAGAAGAAAATCTTTCCATTTTGGTTCTCTCCATAGCTCTATATTCAAGACATCTGTGACTGTTAAAGCCCTTTGGATTTTCTTTTTTTTTAAATTGCATAACTGTTAAGAGAGCCAGGAGAGAATAATAAAGAGAACTTTCTGGAGAAGACAGGGACCAAGAGAAAATATTTCACTCCCACTGTATTCCCAGGAAGTCTTGCTTAATTACAAACAGTCATCCTTTTGGTCTAGACAGAGTCCCCTTTCCTTGCGGCCCGGCTTACTGGGGCCTGGGAATGTACCTGAGATGAAGGGTTGAGAATTGCCTTTGCATCCTTACAAAACTCCCATCTCTTTTCTTTGCTTTTAATTAGCAGCCCCAAGTGATATGTGCTTTCCCATCAGTGAGGTAGGGGGAATTCCTCCTGCCTGTTTCTGATGAGCAAGCCCTCCCTTCAGCAGCATCTGGTCCTGTGTCTGGCAAGTGACATCTGGCACAATGTTCTCTTTCCACTCGATTTTCTTTGGCAATATGCTTAGTGCAGTCTTTTAAGAAAGTTGATGCATGAACTCTTGGAAGCCCTGGGCTTGCCAGGCTGCAGGGAGATGGTGGAATGGGCACGTGCTCCCACATCTGGGCTGTAAGTGACACACAGCTGAAAGTGACTACAAGGACCTGAGCTTGGGGTGTTTCTGGGGGTGTGTACTCTACTTCAACCAGGATTTCCATCCTTTACATTTTTGTGCCATTTGAAGTAATAAAAACATAGCCTTTAAGAAACTAGACTTCATTACCTTCAGTGTTTCAGATTCAGAGATTCAAGTTCAAAGATTTCAAATGAAAAACTAAGAGGAAATGAAACTTCATGTTTTGACCCCATGAAGAAATTTGGGACTGGCACCGCTTTATAAAATCTATTTTTTAGAAGTGAATGATTACAATGGGTATTTCTTTTATTTAAGCCCTGATTGTGACAGGGTTAATATGAAGACATATAAGTTACTAGGGCGATCGGCGTGATGCCAAGGCACAAAACTACTCAATGAAGGTAGTATCAAAAATGATGAAACCATCCATTGACCTGCATCAGAACTCAGGCTCAGGCAGCCAAGGAAATGGGAGTCTCAGGGTTAATAATGGGCTCTGTCTATGGTTTGATCATGAGTAAATAATAAAATAAACAAAAATAAAATTTGGAATCTTATAAAAAGGAGGGGCTTTGTCTTCTCCTTATTTGTATAATCCTTCTTCCTCTTAAGTTTAATGAGACAAGTCTGCCCCTTTTGAAATTAAAATGTCAAAGATCCCTTTGAAATGAGCTAATGCAGAAAACCATCTAATGCTGTGGACTGAATTCAGAGGCTGACAGAGGCTTCAAGTCCTTGAGTTATAAGTATGGGCCAACACAACACTTTTTCAAAAATGAAATAAAATCCTTCAAGTGCAAAAGCCCAGGGTGAATTTGTGCAGGGAGAGGCTTATGTGCGATCCATTTCCTAAATTCACAAGTCGTAGCTTTTCAGACAAAACTGCTCCCTGGCTGCCTTCTCTCCATCTTTGCACAAAAAGGGATGAAGCATAACGCGGTTCTTTGGTGCGAATCTTGTGAGGGTGGTCATAATGCATTTGCATTTCTGACTAGGCTAAGGGGGTGGGCCCTTCTGTGGAATTTCATTCTTTAGCCTTCCTGGTCACAGGAGGAAATGTATAATGTCACCTCTGACAGAGTCGGGAATGACAAGAACCATAACTTACACGTGGAGAGAGCTTTTAATGATTTCAAAGCATTTTCACATCTGGTCTTCCATTTGCTGCTCATACCAAGCCTGTGAAATAAATAAAGCAGGTACTGTTGCCCCCAATGTCCAGATGAGGAAACAGTCACGGAGAGCTCTGGGATTTCCTGAAGGTCACCCAGTTCATGAGCAATAGAGCTGGGACTGGAATCCAGGTGTTTCTAGTCCTGTGTTCCCTGCCCCTCCCCCTTGCACTGTGATTGACTAGGGGAGCAGAAGTGAGGGTTAGGGTGGGGGCAGGCAGTGGTTAGTACTGAGTATGAACTGAGGGCACTTGGTGGGGGCAGCGTTTTCTACCAGATCTTGACCTTGACAAAGCCTTGACACTTATCTCTAAGCAATGTTAAAGTCTTCATTCAGTTGTTATTTGAACTGATGTCAACCTGAGAAACCTTAGAAATCATCTTTTGGAAGAGTGGCCCCATGTGCTAGTGTGCACGCATTAGAGTCATTCATCCTGCCACTTGTTGGATTTGTCATTGTTGTCTCAAGTTGTTAACTTGGAAATTGGATTCAGCAGATTGTTTCTAGTCTCCTATTGCAAACCTCCCTTGGTCCCTAAGTAAAGTTGAGTTTGCTTTATATACATGCCAATATAGCCAATCAGCCTGCAATCTGTGTGCCAGGACCCACCCACAGCATGCACAGCCCCTAGTGCTATCACCCAGGCACTGCAGACCTCTTCCCTGCCATTCTGCCCAGGACACCGTCTGTGACAGGTTTATGATTTCTTTTTCACAGGACCACAGAGTGCCGGAAATAACGTTTAGCTTAGCCCAGTGTCTGGCATCTCCTCTGGATGGTCCTGACTGCTGGCCCTCTATTCCCTCCATTTGGAGGGAATCATATTGATCTTCCTGTCACCCTCCAGGGATAAGGCAAACCCTGCCTGAGCTTTGGTTCTTTCTTTTTCAGAGTCATCTCCATAAAGAACTACCATCCGAAGATAAGAATCATCACCCAGATGCTACAGTATCACAACAAGGTAGGATAGTGAGCACCTGTCTGAAGCTTGAAGATACACCAGGGGTCCAGTCTCATCTCCTACGCCACCACCCCCACACATCCATACCCATATGCACATGCATGGACATATGTGCACACACATGCTCACACACAGCCATGCAGTCCATGGTGGTGGGTAGAAACCTCCCTGGGGCATTTCTTCAGTCCAAACATCTCTTTTGCATTTCATTACCAGAAGGAAGGTCCTTAATGTACTGATTCATTCTTCCAGGGAGGAGCTGTTGGACCCATAGTTTCAGAAATTCTGATGCATTCTTCCACCCCATTCCAACAACTTACATTTTTATTCCTAAAAACTGCACTCATTTCATTAGTCAGGATTTATTGAACACCCACTATGTGATCAACACTCCATTTGACTCCCTCTCTGTGGGTATGGTGAAAAGGTGCAATTTTGTGCCCTCAGGGATTTAGCAATCAAGATGTAGAGAGTGTCCCAGGCAAGTGATAGGACTTTTCTGCAGGAGAACAGGTGAACATGGAGGAAGGAAATGCCAACTGGGAGCAGGCACAGCCTTCTTCAATTCAAACTGAATTCAGAAAACTGGTTGGATCTCCAGAAATTAAACATAAAGGAATTTTTCTAGTGTTACAATTTACGAGGATTGGAAAGAAAATAAATGTTGGAGTCTCTGCTGCTTCCCTTGTGATTACCTCTCAGTAAACCCGAGTCCAGCCTCTCACTCAAAGGCAGTGCTCCTTCCCTTGGCTGATCATTAAACTCCATGGGAAACAGCTTTGAGGGAGGGAAGGTGGCACCTCTCTCTGTTTGATATGGAACTGGTTACCCCTTTAATGGGGCTTAGAAACAGGAGACTGCTCAGTACCTGGAACCAGGTGTCCTGTCTGCACAGAATAACTCCCTGCTGGGTTATGAGTGAGCTTGTGTCCCATCTTACAGGCCATATCCCCTACGAAATAGGCAGTCAGGTGACCCAGAGAAGACCCTGTTCTGCCAAATGCACTTGTGCCTTGCCATTATTTCCTTAATTGCTGGCACGTGCTGCCCATTTTGCTGCGTGCAGGCCCATCAGAGGCCATTGTCGAGTGGAGCCTGCTGTTGGGGACTGGCATACCCCTTGGACCTGCTGCCCACTGCTGCTCGTGGCCCAACCCCTCGGCAGGTGGTCCTACTGCCGGCCATGTTGTGCTCCAGCCAGTGGGGCTGGTGGTGAGCACCCGAGGTCACGTCTTCCTGTTCGTCTCTGGGAAAGCCAAGGACACTGAAAAGACAAAGTCAGGATATTGGTAACCGCAAGCAATTTGTGACAGCCACCCCTGTAGGTAGAGGTGAATTTTATTAACAAGACTATATGTGGCTGGTGACAGCTCCTGAGGCAACAGACTCTCATTTGTGATCTGAAATTTCATTTAGTGTGGGAGTGTTTTAAACTGTTGTTTAGATTTTTGCCTGAATTTAGATTGAATAGGAAAATTAATGTTGTATGTTTGGAAGGGATGTCAGTTCCTTTTTTTCTCATTCCAATGAGTGCTGATGCAGCATCTTCAAGAAATTAAGGAGGATTTCAGCTGTGTGATTCTTGTCAAGCTCAAAGGAGCCCGGTGACCTAGAATCCAAATGGTATCTGGTCACTCTTCATGGGATCTTCGCAAGCTGAGTGCCTTTTACAAACCTCTGCATTGAAATTATTCAGAAACCATGATGAAAACATTGATCTGACCATGCTTACTAGCTTATAACTGATTCTGTTTGAGTGCCACCCCAACTGATTTGAGTTTCAGAGTTGGGCAAACTCAGTTGTGAGACTCTGCCCCAGTCAGAGCACTAAGGGGAAGAGTGGTTTTGACACAGGACATTTCTCTGTGTTTTTATGCCTCTCTTCTAGAGAAAGAACAGAAAGTCTACCAGTCACTGTTTGTCATCTCATTCCTTGCAGGATTGCAAATGGACATTCTTCTCAACTGCTTTATACATTTATCGTTTCATAAGAATCCCCTACCCTTTAATATGTTTTCCTTCCTCTTACCTTACAATATTATTTTGCTTCCTTTTCTGGCACTTTCTCTTTATCCATGAGATGCCCAGCGATCTCCAGCTATTTAAACTTGCTTTTAGAAAGAACCCGCTATATGCAAACTTATGTCACTGTCAATTCCATCACTGGATAGCAGACTTCAAATAGAGGGGACGGGGTCCCCTCTGACCTTATGACAGTGATATCCTAAGACCTGGAGGGATGTAGGTAAGCTGCCTGCTTTCTCTTCATGTAAAACTGATCCTGAATTTTTCATCATCATAATCTCAGACATTTTGTTGTATTTTATGGCTTTAAAAGAACATTGACATCCATGGTCTCGGTTAGCCCTCATTTGACCATCTGTCCATTTTAGCATCTCAGTGTGACTTGAGTTGGGGGTCAAGGCTCTGTCTCAGAACAGGGCTGGTAGGTACAACTCATGGTCATTTAGCAGCCCATGAGCTGAGAGACAGAGCTTCCACTTCTCTTTAGAGGAAGCCACAGCCCACTGCACCAGACGGTGGTTCCTCATGTAGGCCTCGTGGAAGGATTGCTGTGCTCAATTGTAGATCTGCTTATATTGCTGGAATTCTTGGAGAGAAACACTTTCAGCCCAGCATTGCTGGACACAGAAAATGATGGTGCAGAGCAGTTCTAATTTGAGAGTAAATGCTGTAAAGCTCTTCAAGGAAGGAATAGTTTATGACATCTTAAAAAAAAGTGTCACTCCTGATGATCTAGATATTAGTGGAATTAAAAAAAAAATCCCTGGCAAAGATGATGGAAGAAAATAAATAAATAAATTATTAAAAAAGGGCAAAGGAGTAAAATATGATTAACTTAGGAATTTCTGATATTAAAAAAACTTCTTTCTTCTCCAAAAAAAATTCTTGCAAATTCTAGTAAAAGAGGTAGCCCAGTCCCCAGTGTCCCAATGGAAATACAAGTTACATTTGGCAGTACTGTTAAAGTATTTACTCTGAAGTGAGCTTCTTTGTTCTTCATGATGGCTTCCTTGGCGTTACATATGTAGTGACTGATGGAAATGAGACCAGAATTCATCTCGCCTGGTCTCCCAGGATAGCCTGTTTCACACTCATTCCTTCCTCCTGGGGCAAGGAGTGATCCAGTGATAGAGACAGAGGGGTGCCCTGGTCCTCTTATCCTCCAGATTAGAGAGAATTTGCCTCTGCACTCCTGTGCAGTGACACTGATATTTTCCACTGAATTCCCATCAAGTGATAAAGGACAAGAGTTGCCAGAAACAAATTATATGAGTTTCTCGGTCAGTGTCCTCTTCGTTTCACGCCCAAGACTTCTCTTCCAGCCTTTGGCACATCCCTCCCTACTCCTTTCCCTCAGTTGGAGAAGATATGATGGCCCAGAAGGAGGCCGTGGAAGCCTGAGAAATGAAACAAACTTGACTTTCTTATGTAATCACTTATAAAATATGTCTGAAGAATGCAAACCAGATGGAGACATGAGGCACCCAAGACCTGCAAGCCTAGACTGCACACTCTAGGGGGAACATGGGGATATCTTAGACTCTCTTAAAAGGGGTTTGTTTTTGTCTTTGAAGGTGTCATGAGGGTTATGTGGTGTCTTTCTGGGATGTGGCCTACTCGAACCTCCTTTCACACTCATGATGGGCTTGCCCACTACTTGGTTTCTCTTCATACTTCTCTGGTGATTGTTAATGCCAATGGGTAGTCTTCCTCTTAGACTGTTTTCTCTAGGATGCCAGGGAAGTAAAAGGGAAAAGTGGCACTCTTCAGCCAGTGAGGACTAGGAGGAGAAATGAGGTACAGGGCAAGGCTAATTGCTAGAATTGAGTGTACTGTGTGGGAAGGCCTGTGATACTCAGCTCAACAGAAATTAACATCTGCTACGGCCCACATGCAGGGCTATTTTAACCATGCTCTCATCAGGGAGGATACCATCATCTCTCTCAGGAGTAAACATGACTGGGTTAGGACTCACAAGATTGTTACAGAACCAGATTTTGCAAGAAAGAATTTCATAAGAGTGCTATTTTGCAAAGCAGACCATGAGCCATTGGACTTGCTCTTTGTTTTCACGATGTGTCTTCTAGCTCCTTCTGGTACAAACAGCATATGCTGTCCTGAAAGTGAGGATGCCTCCTTGGTGCTCCATGTGTTTGCTGGTATTTGTAGACAAATAATTTCAGGTGATGGAGTCTTGGCATTATGTCTCTGATTCTAACTCCAATGCAAAGCGAGAGGTCTTGGAAAAACACTGAGTTTGAGGGACAATGACCTTGCTTTCTTGGAGATAGTTGTCTCTACTTATTAGACAAATTACATCCTTAGAAAGTTCCTTTATATAGCAATTAAAGCAACTGCTTTTTTGTAATTTACACCAGCAAGCTCTAATTCTGGCCCCTCAAAGAAAGCAAGATTCCCTCTGGGTCACAGTAGCTCCTGAGGTATTCAGAGGTCAGCATCCTGGCCATGGGGGTCAAGGCTCTGTCTTAGAACAGGGCTCTGTCTTAGAACAGGGTACAACTCATGGTCATTTGGCAGCCCATGAGCCCGTGAGTTGAGCTGAGCCCAGAGCTACCACTTCTCTTTAGAGGAAGCCACAGCCCACTGCTTCAGAAGGTGGTTCCAGGTAGGCCTCATAGAAGGATTGATGTGTTCCATTGTAGATCTGCTTATATTGCTGGAATTCTTGGAGAGAAACACTTTCAGCCCAGCATTGCTGGATACAGAAAAAAGATGGTGCAGAGTAGTTCTAATTTAAGGGTAAATGCTGTTGTCTTAACTATTCCTCAAAACATGTTTTCCAGAACTTACCTCTCCTTGGCCTTGTCATCTTTCTTTGGAAATTATTCAATGGATCAGTTTCCTTTTTTAAATTTGTTCCAACCAGTACTCTAGAACTTGTCTGATCAGTGTACATGAATGAAGCCTTCATTTCCTTAGTCTGCAGAGTCTCTAACAAGCAAGCACTGGCTTTCATTGTGATCTGCTGCACAGTTAGCCTCCATTTGGGGTTTTGTTACCCACACACAAGTTTCCCCTCATGCTTGTTTCCGTGTTAAAGTCTTCTCATTCTGAACTTATGTAGTGAGTTAGTTTTTTTTTTTTTTTTTTTGAACCTAGATACTGTGCTTGACCTTTTAAATCCCTTCTGGTTATCATTTTTGGTCCATTAAGTCTGAAGAACTTTTTGAATCTTATTTTCTTAAATCTAGTATATCAACTATGACTCTGTATCATGACACTTACAAATAATTGGCTGAGCATGCCTCCCAATCCTTATCGGACCTTCTAGTGGAATAGGATCGGTTCATCTTCAAGATGAACATATCTGTACTGTGATTTGCCTGATGATTTAGGGCAGTGCTTCTCAAAGTGTGGTCCCTGGATCAGCAGAATCAGTATCACCTTGAACTTGCTAGAAATGCAGATTCCCTAGCCTCACCTCACATCCACTGAATCAAAATCTCTGAGGCAGGAACCGGCCATCTATGTTTACACAAATCCTCCACGTGATTCTGACGCCTTCCTCAAGCTTGAGAGCCACTGATCTGAAGTATTGGAAGGCAGATAAAAAAGAAATCTAAAATGCATGGGTACCTGACAGCCTTAGGATCTCTGAGGAGCCGGACACCATTAAATATCATGGGCTGATGTGCCTGCCCCAAGAGGACATTCTCTCTGGACTCTATTCAATGAAATGACAAACTCGAGGGGGACGACTTGGGTGGGAAGCTGCAGAAGCAATGTTCCAGAGAGACTGAATCTCAGTGAATAAGAGTTGAATAAAACACTAAACATCAGACCCAGTCAAGGGAAATAAAGGACGAGGCTGGATGACCCTGAGCACTTGGGCAATGCTACATTTCCCAGAAGAGATTTTAAACAATCGAACATTTAACAAAGTAAGGTCTCATACCTATTTTTGTTTCCACAGGCCCATCTGCTAAACATCCCAAGCTGGAATTGGAAAGAGGGTGATGATGCAATCTGCCTCGCAGAGCTGAAGCTGGGCTTCATAGCCCAGAGCTGCCTGGCCCAAGGTCTCTCCACCATGCTCGCCAACCTCTTCTCCATGAGGTCATTCATAAAGGTAACGTCTTGTCCTATTAGAGCACATTAGCCCCAGATTCAATTTGTCGTGGGGTTGAGTAGAGAGCACAGCTTAAACTCAAAACAGATCGACGGGCTTTAACCACTTTGGTTAAGGAGAAATTCCTTATTACAGTTTTGGGCACAAGGCCAACTTCTTTCAAAATTATGTTTTTATTTTTATTTGGCACATCCACGGCCATTAAATGATTGTTCAAAGCACAATCCTCTCTTTTTTTAGATAAACCACATGTTTATCTATCAACAAAGCCTCCGCTGTTAAAACAAAAATATGATTTATATACATTCCATATGGCACCAGAGCGCCTAAAGAAAAGAATTATCATTTTGCTCTTTTACATCAAGTGCTGGTGGACCTCTCACTGTGCGGATAAATGCAGACCATGTGTTTGTGTTGAAGCCCAAACCCCAACAACATAATTCATTTATTTATTTCTGCACAATCAAGGAGGCCAGGAGGGCTGACATGCCATGGTTATTTGAATGGAGAGCCAAACGACAAACCGAGGCCTTGGCAGCTGTACCCGTCACACTGTGGGTCAGGCATTCTAGTTATGTTTGTGTCCTCATCAGCCCATTCACCCCACAGAGCGGACTGGGAAGCTCCTTCAAAGGTTTCGAGGTGGCCTATGTACTGGACCAATTCAGGCAAAGAAAGACCCCTCTGTCCTCACAGACTAGATGAGCAGTGTATTTCCAGGACATTGGATTGGGGCCCTGGTCCCCACCAAGAGAGCTTTTGAAGCTCTCTTATTTCTCTTATTATGTTGGTAACACCAGTCCTTGTTCATGGACTATGTTTAGCCTAGAAGGTGACAAACCATTGCAGTAAGACCTGTGTAGTTTACTTTTCTGACTTGGCATTGGGAAACTTACATTCCTCTCCCTGTCACTCATTTATTTACATTCCCCTTCCTGCAGTAGTAGTGGTTGAGGTAGGGAATTAGTGAGTCACCAACAAGCCCTGCAAAGGGGGCTCTGAAATGAAAGATGTGAAATCTCCTGCCTTTTGCTGCCACTACTGCCGGATCCATCACTGGCTGTAATAATGGGTGGTGTTCGAGAAATGGGTGCAGTGAGAGGGAACATTGGAAAGGATGGGGATGCAGGTCAGAGACCAACTCCGTGATGCTGCGTCTCTGGGCATCCACGAGTTGTGTCACTTACAGCAGGATATTTTCTAGGTCCTTCCCTCTGCACCCATGTAGTTTACATTGCTTAACAACGGGTAGTTAGCATTAGCCTACATAAAAGAACAAATTGTTTTGGAGTCCCATCAGTCACTGTAGCAATGGATAACCCGATTTAAAAAAATCCTTCTATTTGCTTCATGCCCAAAGACCTCAATGTGGCAGAAATCCTGGCCCGGATCCAGCTCACAAATAGGGACATTGCATTCCTTGAAATATCTTCTTTAATCCAACCTGCTATTCCCTTGCCTGGATGAAACTGAATGCAGGCAAAATGGAGGCGACAGGGAGGTCCGTGTGGCTGAACTTAGAGACAAGCCAGAAAACCAGATGTAGCCTTGTGTCTTCTGGGGCTTTAAGTGTCAACGCAAGGAGCCCAGACTCAGGATAAAGGACTGTCACTGACAGAGCTCCGCTGGCTCATGCAGCTAAGCTCCGGTGGTTTCTTCCAGCAGGGGATTGCCCACAGGACTAAGCACATGGGCTGAGGAGCTGGGCTCTGCTTCCTCGTGTTGATGTAACATGGACCTTGGCAGGGCCCCACCACAGATGGGGCACTTGACGTGCGTGTGTTTTGATTTTGTGGTGCCTGCATGGTAACTTGAGCTGCCTGTCAAGAAAATTAATAAAATGGATGTGACACTAGTTCTTCAGTGTTATTACCAGCAGGGAGAACTTCTGTCCAACTTTCCTTAAGACCCGGAAGGGCCTCACCTCTGCAGCCAAGGACATCCTCTTCAGCCCAACTAGTCCCACTGCCAAGTTCCTATTTAGGAAGAACTGGGCAGGGCCCTGGTGTAACTGAAAACATATTTCCCTCTTAGGGTTATGTTACCATGTTTCTTCTTCTTCTTCTTCTTTTTTTTTTTTTTTTTTTTTTTTTTTTTTTTTTTTGTCAAGGGCAACTTCTCTGTGCTTGAAGGTAGTTCTCTGGATTTGGCCTTTGACATTGAGGTAGTCTTTGTGTTGGAATTTGCTGAGGCACATGACCTGGAAATAACAAGATTTCCCTTCATGTATGTTTTTTTTTTTTTTTCTTTTCACTTAGAGTAGGGACAACCTTCTGCACATGCTTCCCATTTTGTAGTGGTGTCTTTGTGCACTTACCATCTAAATTCTAGATCCTTGTCTCTTTCAAGTCTTAATAAAACCATGATATGCTCTCATAGGCATGTTTTATGTATTATTGCCCATTCCAAGGGGTCACAAAATTTATACTTATTTTTATTTTTGGGGGGGTAGATGGAAAGGGAATTTATAAGTAGATTATTATTAATAGAAATTGCTTCCTTCCCCAGTGTCTCCCAGGTCCCACACAGTGGAGAATACAACAGCATTTCCACAGGGAGAGACAGGTCTGGTAACATGGAGGGAGATGGATGAGACTCTGGTAGCATTTGACCCTTGAGAACACTCAGTGTTGCTGGAAGCTGAAGGTGGAGTGTGAACTCACCCTATCCCTTGCCTTGGGCAGATCTGGTATCTGTTTCTTGGGTCTGCATAATACATAGTCCTCTGCCCCTGCTGTAAAATGTTAAAAGAGGAATGTGACTGTAACAGAGATGACATACCAGGGGCAAATACACAGTCACTATCCATTGGGATTTTAGTATGTATGACACCAAAAGCCAAGATGGAAAGTGAGGGTGACAAGACTCAACAAAAGAGAGACTTTTGTCAGATAAAAGTTACAAAAGAGGCCCAGCCCACAGGTACCAGGAAATATGGGGGAGCACATTTTTATCTCCTCAGCTATGTCATTTTCAAAGATCCTCACCATAGGGCCCAAAGTAATTATCCCTAAAAATTTAGCTTCCATTTAGGATGTGTTATCTTTGGGTTGACCTAAACTTTTTTGGGGAATCTGTATTTATAGCTCACATCTTTTGGGATAGTGAATTCTTTAAGATTGCTAACTCCTGCTAAAGGACTTTTTCCTGACTGTTTGTCCTTAATTTGCTCCACTTAACCTTCAAGGCATGCTCTCTGCAGTTTTGTTTAATAAATCCATACTAACTTTGTAGCCAATATCTTTGTGCAAGAGGTTCAGGTTGGCACCGCAGGAAGTCCTCTCGCCCAGCACCTTGTTAATAATGTCAGGTTAAGCATTTTGTTCAGCCACGTCCAGTTTCCACCCTTGAGTTCCTTTATGAAGTGCGGGTGAATGCCTGGCTCCTTTGATTTATCAATGTCTACATTATCAACCAGGCCTGGAACATCCTGTTCATTTACTACTATCTGATCTCTGCCACCCGCCTGTCAGGTTCAAGTGAGAATCTTCCTAATGTCTTCCATAAAGACCAAGACAATGAACTTATTTAGCCTATCTGCCATCACCTCATCCCTGAACAAGGCACCACACTTATCCATTCTCTACTTAGCGCCTCACTTCAATATAATTTAAGATCCATTGATTTCCTTTCTTTCTTTCTTTTGTGAGATTGTTACCTTGTAATACTTAATACTTTTTCTTCAGTATATCTGGTTTCAAGTTGGAGCTTGAGCTGCCATTTTTATGAATTGTGCTATTATTTTTCCTAGGATTAGCTGTCCTTGGACATGATAAATTGTGTGTGTGGGGGGTCTGTATATTTAGATGGTGATTAACTTTTAAAATTGTTTTCAGTCTATACTGAGTCTTCAAATTTACCACGTTTAAATCATTCTCAGGATTACCAACTATTTTAGCTCTGCTAATCTATCATTTTATACACACACATATACTCACACACAATCACACAGCCTAGGACATGGTAATGGACACCATAACTATTTCTTGGTTATGAAAATTGAAAAAATATGTGATGATACTTGTAATTTTTTTTCCTGTTTTACAAAATTTGGAATTTTGGGGTAAACTGCTACTTTATATTGATCACAGCATGGTCTTTTCCATAACATTTTCTATTTCTGAATGAGAAAATACTAGGGGAATCAAGTTTACGTTATTCAGATTGTGTCTTGGCTGAGTTGGACTTTACTGAACATGAAAATCATTTCTTATTGCTGTTGCCATATTGAGATAAACTTTCAGTAATGCATGGTCCTAGCACTAATTGTAGCCAAGGGAATAGATTTTTTTTTTTTAATATCTGTGATTGGGGTTATGTTTGTGTGTAAATATGTGTTTGTATATATTGTGTATAGAAACATAGTTTAGGATCTAGAAATGTGAATCCAGAATCTTTACTAATAACTAAAATACATTGGATCTTAACTAAATAACAAATAAATTCTTTATACTTATCCTTTCATTTAATTCTCATTGTGAGTCTACCCAAATTTGACATTGTTATTATCCCTACTTTACAGTGACAGAAACTGTGGATTAAGAAAAGTTAATCTGTGTGAGGATATAGGGGCCCTATCCTTTGGGTCTTGGTAGTCTTTCCCTCTGGCCAGCTCTGCAAGGACAGAGGTTGCTGGCATCAAGATGGGTAAGCGGTTATCCTAGGCTGGAATGTGGCCAGTCAGGGAAATGAACTAGGCTCCCAGGAAGGAGATGCCCTTGCATACTGCTCTGTTGAGCTAATTGGTATAGGCAGGTGCTCTTGGGGGACAACAAGCAGTTGTTTTTGACTCATAGGTGTAAGTTCTGCAGACCAGGATGTTTTCTAGAGGAAGGAGGCATACTAGAAGCAGAATTCCACCCCAAGTGGTTTGGGAGGCCTGTAATAGTTTCTCTGAAATGGAGTCAGGACATTAATTGATAACACTGGGATCAAGGTGGCTCTCTTCTTCCAGGAAGGGAAGCTGATGGAGCCAGAGTGGAGGGTTTGTTCAACAAAAT